TGCTGTTGCTGCTGTTGCTGCTGTTGCTGCTGTTGCTGCTGTTGCTGCTGTTGCTGCTGTTGTTGCTGTTGTTGCTGTGTTGCTGTTGTTGCTGTTGTTGCTGTTGTTGCTGCTGCTGTTGCTGTTGCTGTTGTTGTTGTTGCTGTTTGGCACCTTGAAAGACTGAACGAGGGTTTTCCTCTACCAACCAGTGGTTCTTCATTGGTTTTCGGGGTCTTTGTTTTAGTCAGTTTTCCACGGGGGTACTTTCCATGTTCTCCCAACGTTGCATGTGATGCCCAGTGACGGTCTCGTTGGGGCATGCGGCAGTGATGCATGCGGCATGTGCCAGTGCCCCACCTGAGTTCCAATGGGAGGTGGTGGATGAAAGTAAGGTGAAAAGAAAGAGTGGTTACCTCATTTGGGGCAAAGACTGCACGCGGAACCCCAAGAGACCCAGAAATTGGACCGTTCTAGTTCTAACAACCTGCAACATTGATGAAACATGCACCATACAGAAGAAGGCTTCTTGCACTTGAGAGCTCACTGGAGCAGTCATCCACTCATCCACCCGGAGCGATTGCCGAGCTGCGAACTCAGGACCATTGTGAGCGATTGCCAAGCTTTGTCAATTCGCCACCTGCAACAAAGATGTGATCTGTATGTGTGGGATCGCGTGTGGGCTCGGCTGGCTGGCTCGGAGGTTAGAAGTCCCTTCTTCAGCCCATGCTCGGTGGAGCAAACTAATAATTCCTTGGTGCTTTGCCGATGTTTGACCCATAGCTTACTGCCCTGGATCCACTCGGCCGCTGCGAGGGCCAAACGTCATGTAACGTCCATGATAAGAACACTTTTAAAACTAGTTCTTGATCAAGTACTGCAAGCAACTTCAACCTTGTGGAAGGACCAGTTTCTGTCCAAGCGGTGTCCGGAACCCATTTTTTGCGTTTGTGTACTTCACACATGTTCACACCGATTAAACCCTTGTCCTTTGTGGAGAGTTTTTTTTTTTTCTGAGGCTTGGCTTTGGTCGTCAATTGGATCAGGATCGGCTCTACTTGGTGGAGTACATGTCCCACCCTCAGACCGCGCCGCGGGGGAAGAACTCGTGGATCTGTGTGACGGCCTGTGGTGGAGGGTGACATGTGACGTGCACAATGTCGAGTGGTTTCAGTGGCAAGTGTAGCCGTAGCTTCGGGTAAATATGGGTCATGAAAATCATGAAACGATATCAAAAGTGGCTTCAGCTAGAGAGGTTGACCAGGTTTATGATATGCACAAGATGTTGTTTGTTGAATTGTTGAAGGTTTGAGGTTCCATCCATGGAATCCATTGGAGGTCAGAAGATGTGTGAACCTGCGATGCTTTCAGCAGTTCTCAGCACCACCACCAGCTTCCCCATCTGACCCCTTCAGACTGGCATCTATGACCATACCTCAGTGATCCGGCGTTTTGGGATTTTTTGAGTCGCCATAAACCCACCCACTTCTCACCTGCTTCGCACCTCCCAAGGATCCAAACGAGAGGTTTGGGCGGTTTCGACGCCCGTGGGGGAAACCCAAGCACTTCGACCGGGCACCGGCACGAGGTTCTACAGCCAGGCAGGGCAGCGTCAAAGTGAGGCAAAGAAGGATTGGCATCTCAAAGGTTTCTAGCTGGACCGGCTGGACCTGCGTTTGGTTTGTAACAGTGGCAGCATGCAGTAGCCAGTGCAGAATGGTTGGGTCCTGGCCACGCCATCGCTGTCCACAGTTCTTACTCCTGCAGACCCGGCTCCAAGTGGCATACCGTCATAGACGAGACACAGCGCCGAGTCACCCGACAGCCATGGGAAACTGCAGCAGTGGAGGTTCTTTGCCCAGTGCCAAGGTCACAGGAGCCAAAAAGGCGCGGGTGACTTGTGATCGATGTGGTTCTCGCATGCTTTGCCCAGTCAGGTGGATCTAACTGTTTAACTTGTTGGTGCCAAGGACACAGGTGATGCCAGATGGATGTTGTTTTGTTGACGTTTGATGGTCCATGTTGTGTCGATGTCATCCCTCAATCCCGGTCCCCCGACATCGAAAAAGGCAAACGGATGATGTGGGAGATAGGGCCGTCACCAAGGCAGAATTGAAATGCTTTGAAGATATTTGCCGATCCTTTCTCTTAACATCTCTTAGCCATTTTTGCTGACATGGAAACCGGCAATGCTCGGCAACCCTCGGCACGGATACGACTCGTGGTGAGGGCAGCGAGATTGGCCGGCCAAGGCCTGTCTCGTGGGAATCAACTACGTGGGCACCAGTGCGCAGCTGCAGGGCTGTATCAATGACGTCATCAACATGCAGAACATCTTGGTGGAGAAGCTTGGGGCATATGCTATGCCCAACATGCATATACATGCCAAAAACTGTGTCATAAATATGCATAACATGCGGCTATGGGAGTTGAATGCTGGTGCACCATCACACCCTTTCTTACTGAATTTCTGGTGCCAGTTCCTTCTTTCCCAACAGTTGCACTGTCAATACCAGTGCACCAACACAGCCTGTTCGTCTGTGCTGCGGCATCACTGCACTTGTTGAGGAAGCATTCGGCCTGTTCGTCCGCGGAATCCGGTGGAGTCCTGGAAACCCGGTCCAAACCCAATCAACGAGATATTCGAAGAAGCTGGCGAAAAGACACGAAAGACAACTGGACCAACGAAAGGCTTGGACCAACTTCCATGTTTCTTCCATGTTTGGTTCTTTTCGGGTGCTGGATGGTTTGGAAACTGCTTGGGACAGGATGTCTTTGGAATTGGTTCAGCTTGGGACCGGACCGGATCCTTCTCGCGAATTCCTCGATGCCTTCGACTCTCGGAATGCGGTAGCAGGGACCGTTTTGAACACCATCCGGAACCCCACAAGTCTCGACCAGGTGTGTTAGAGTCTGATACATTTCGGATGGCACAATCCCCCTCGGTGGTTGATATGGACCCCCATCTTGACATTTTGGGGCACCAATGGGTGCCAGCGCCATCTTCTCCGAAACCATTTGAAACCACTCGAAGTTCCTGTCCGATTTTCGGCCGAGAGTCACCTCGAGGAAATATGGATTCAAGAAGGAAGACATTTTGATGATCAATGAGGATCAGGACAGCCAAGCACTGGCGGATGCTGGCAGCCGCGGTGGGATCATCAAGAAACTGTGTCTCACGGTCGCTGTTTGGGTCGGGACGCTTTTTAGCCTAAGTATCCCAAAGTCTCCAGATGCTTTGGCCCCAAGCCAACCAAGAAGACGCAAAACCAACACATGTCCTTTTTGGGGGGGGGCAGCCCTTCCCGTTTGGTTGTTCACGGGGTCGGTTGTTCACGCCCGTGGGTCTATCGGTCCCCCGAGTTGGGCCATGTGTCATGGAGCGGCATATCCCACAATGCAGTTGCTTGATATACGGAGACACCCAGATTACATGGCTCCTTGCTCAATGTATATGCATGTATATGCATTCCAGGTGATGTAGCATTGTTGCATTGAAGAGGATGAGGTGTGGCTTGGATTCTGGATTTCTGCACCTGGCAGCCACCCCCGAACTATAGCTGTTGGATGCTGTTGGACAGAACCATGCAGACTTGGCAGGAGAAGAGCCGATGGCCCTACAAGCAGCAGATCCTGGAGGGTATAGAGTCTCATTGGCACATGGAATGACAGCTTCCGAGATCACAGACTGAGCGGACGGCTAGAAGGCATCGAAGTCTCACCTCTGACATACTTGGAGTCACACTCCTTGAGGTGTAGCTGACTGTGTAGCTGCTACTCTAGCAACCCATGAGTGGAATTAGCTGATGAAATCTTGAGGGCGGTGAGCCCTTTATAAACTATACAGCCCACCTATTTCAGAGGTCGAAGATGGACGTCCTATGTCCTGAACCCACAAGCTGCTCAAAGCCTGGCTTTGCATGGCACTCCTTTGCATCAAGTCGCGAATTGTTTTTGCCAAGCTCAGGAGTGGCTCTATCAAGGTGCCAAGCCTGGTGATTTGCTTTTCTTCCACTACAGTGGCCATGGCTCCCAGTACCAGGCAGGGTCACACGGAACGCGAGCCACGCAGTTCTCACAGAGGTGAATAGCTGTTTTGGACATTTTGGACATCTAGAGAATCTAAGATATATCTAAGATCCCACAGCGGTTGGATTATGGTTCAAGTTTCGAATGGGGTTGACCGGGGCTAACTGAGTCAGGGACCCTTTAACGTGAAGAACAACCTGTCCTTTGACAGCAAATATGAGGAAGGTCTTGGCCAACTACTAAATGCAACATGTTGTTTGCCTGTTTTTGTCCTTCGGGTGCCTTTGCCATGCCCATGGATGTTTGGTAAAGGCCTAGGTCTAAACGTGTGTTCTTTTCGTTTCACTTTAAGGCACTTTCGTTTCGCCCGGACAAAAAAGTCGCCGGATCCATGAGAGTCCCTGGGTGCAGTGGAGATCCATGAGACATCCCTCGAGTTTATCTAGTTTTGCGTAACTAGATCAAGCCGGTAGGAGCGATCGGACGCTACTAGGGGCTCCTGGCCTCACTACTAGGAGCAAAGGGCATCGCTACGACCGCTAGGAACGGAGCGATCGGACGCTACGAACGGCCGGTCCTGCAGATTTCAATCATGAAGGCGCCCCTTAGCCAGACCGTTGATCCGACAGGGGGACAAGAAGACGATGCCCTCCGACGTGATTTGTCCCTTGGACTGCATCGGTGGCGAGTGGCCACAGACGGTCATCACCGACGCAGAGATCCATCAGAAACTCTATGATCCCTTGCCGAAGGGCTGTAAGGTGCGGCTGTAAGGGGTGGGGCAGACGAAGAACCGGGAGTCAGGTAGGTCGAGTCAGATGCAAACCTACATGTCAGAGGTTTGCAGGACATAGACCCCCGCTTGGGAAGGCAAAAAGCTTGTTAACCACCCAAGCTTTTCTCAAATATCATCCTTTGCACTGCCCAAATGAATGTCAAAAGCTCGTGTAAAGCCCTCTCGCATTCCGTGCGTATATCTCGCCTTCGGCCAGGCGGTCTGTCTCTTTGACTGTTGCCACTCGGCCACTGTGGCCAACCTGGCTGAAACCATGGTGGTGCAGAGCGGGCCACTCACCGCCGAGAAGAAGGCGCGGCGTGGCCCGGGTCGCATCGTTTGAGGGGATTCGAGGGGGGATCTGGAAACTGTTTGGGCGACTCGGATTGATTGGACATGCCATGGAACCTCTGAGGTTTCGGGTCCGGTGGGTTCAGGTTCATGGCAAGTGATCGACGAAAACCATGGCAATTACATTCCAGGGGAGCTTCCTCCCCGAAGTGAAGCAGTGAAGCGATGGGCGGAGACGCGAGAAAAAGTGCGGAAATCCCAGACGGGTCAGGAGTTGCTGATGAAGAAGTTGCAAGTCCAGAAGGAGCAAGCTGAGACGCAAGTCCGTGGCTGAATTTGAAGAGACAGTTGATGAACGAAATCCTTTTGAATGGATTGGATTGGCGGTCATTGTTGTAATTATGGAAGAAATTGTTACATCCGGGTAGTTTCAGGATCAATGCAGGGAACCATCCACATTACAGTAGAATGTTTGAGTGGGTATATAACCATCTTCAAAGACTCCAAAATGTGTAATGCCAGGATGCTTCTCCAGCCGAACCCCTTCCATATGACCTTCAGTATGCCCTTCCTGTGTTTGGTTTGCATGTTGCACAATGCTTTTCCCCACAGGCAGCGACAAAACGGCATTCATCTCAAATCAGTTTCTGGTTCAGGATGCTCCACGGTTCCATACGGTTCCACGATGTTCCACGGTTCCTCATGTGGATGAGATTTGGGTCCCTGAGGCGCCGGCCCGGCCGTGTTCATTTTTATTACGTCATCCCGCTCACCCGCTCACATTCTGTCAAGAACTCTTTGTTTTAGGCCGTTCACCACTCCACCGCTCCCTGAACCGGTTTTCCATGAACAGATTAACCTTTCTGAAGGATTAAAATCACGGACACTTTTTCTTTGTTTGAGGCTTCTATCAAGAGGTGAACTCGGGAAAGTTGGATTTGAAGAAGAAAAGCACCACAGATCTCGTTGCGCTCTTTGAGAAGCATGGCTTTCCCAAGAAGACAGGCGCCCAGTCCTGCGCGGCTGTGATCGTCTCATCGTCGTCTCATCGCGTGCCAGTGTGCCTACGTAGGGCGTCAACGTGAGGGTGTTGGACAGTGGAACAGCAGCTCCAACACCGGAAGTTCGTTCGCGCTGTTGAATTCGTTCGTTCGCAGCCCCCCAAAGGGATGGTAAAATCTGGTGTTCCGAACCCATCGGCCAGAAAAGTGCTGGTGGCGTGGCAATATGCAGGTCATAGTGCAGGTCATTTGCATCTAAGGGGGACCTTTTGTCATCCTCCAACGGGTGTCCTATAGAACAATATGGATATATACTACTCATAGTTCCGATAGAATATAGAACAATATGGCAGATTATGACATTATGGAACTAACTTGTCATTTTGCCCGTGAGGATGGTGGAAGAAGCTTGTTGGTTCATCGCTTTTGAGGGGTGGTTCTGCAGAGGCGTTGCTTTCCAAAAGGTCCCTTTCCCCTGTCAGGCTTCCAGACAGTCGTACTCAGTCATATGTCCCTGCCAGGTCCCAGCGATGACGGCTCCGGGTACTGGTACCTCCTGAGCAAGGAGATCAAGGTGCACACGGGCCTGCTCCGCCAGGATGCTAGATGACACCCCCGACATCCGTGCTACCATTAGCAGTGTCTCCAGTCATGCCAGATCATGATAGGGGATCCCAGTGTCTCCTGTCATGTCTTATTATGTTGCATAATTTGTACCGACACCTTGGCCTCTGCACAGGGTCCATTTGGTAAAGCAGATGCAGTATACAGCATACAGTAATGTTCACATCGCAATCATGAACCTCCCCCTAGTGAAACATCAGGGCCAAAAGTTTGCCCCCGTCTAATACAAAAACGCCCGCGTCATAATAATCCTCAGACCTTAAGATTTGAACAGCTTTTCTTGATTGACCTAAAGTTTAAGAAGTAATTCAATAATTGATTAATCAATATTTAAGCAAATCTGGAAAGTGGCAAATTGTTATACGAAAATAGGATAAAGTGTGCGTGGTTCATTATTGCAATAGTTCGGAAGGAAGTTCATTGTACTGGTACACAGGAGAAAGTCCGGTGTATGATTGCCACCTAGGAGGCAGTTGGAATTAAAAGGTCACAATTTATAGTTCTATGTCATTGGCACTCGCAAGGGGTACCCTTTGCCAATCCTTTTGCTGTTGCTTTTGGGAATATAGCAAAGATAACAAAAAAAGGTTGATAGTTTTAGATTCGCTAGAAGAATTGAACTTGACTGTTGTGTTTGAATGTTTTTGATTGATCAAACTGTAAACGTAGATACTTGGTCTATATATTATATTGTTTGAAGATTTGCTGGAAAGTGGCTTACGATGCAAATGTAGTTCCGCTTGCCTTCTAAACTGCCACTCTCACTCACTCTTTGTTCCCCCTCCCATGTCCACGGTTCGTGTGACTCCGAACAGCAGAGGCCTTTTGTACGGGCTCCGTGCAGAAAGCCGAGAAGCTCTTGGCAGAACGGGTGGAGGCCATGAAAAAGCTCGAGGCGACAAAGGCGCGCAAACTGGCCGATGCGATTCGGGACAGTTTTGTATAGTTTTGGGACACACAGCCCACCATTGGATATGATAGGCGACCAAACTATGGATTAGGGGAGTATTTCCAACCTGCGCAACCTGCTTGTCTAGGAAAATTCCGGAAGATATGGACTAGTGACTATGTTCACAGCGGTATGGGCCACTAGCCTTCGTGCGGGCCACTTGGCCACTTCAAGCGCCCCGTGGGCCCTTGGAGCTGACCAGGTGGGCGAAGGCGCCCAGATCTACATTGGCAATCTGGAGCAGGACCTCGAGGCCGACGGGATCAGATGATCAGTCGGATGGCACCCAAAACCGAGTGCACCGGGTGCAGGAGCAGGTGCTCCGAACTTGCAAAACCGCACAAAAACCGAGTGCACCGCAAAAAACATAGAAACCAGGTGCATGCTACCTGGTACTACCTGGGCTGTGGTTCACATGTTCCGCCTGCTGCTGCATGTTGTAATGAGTGGTTTTCTTATCGTGTGTGACGCTTGCTATACCAGGGGCACCAGGCTGGGTTCATTAGCACCGGCGTTTTTTTTCTCCCAGGAACCCCCAGCGTGCGGGCTTCGTACCTGGCCAATGGCATGGAAGTGATGTTTAAACATTAAAGTGACCTTCAAGGGTCAATGAGAAAAGATATTGGTGCATTTTTAGATTGTTTTGGGGCACCTATTCCAGAATGATCATGTATATTCTGAAACAGCCCCTTCACCCCTATATTCAGATGATTTCCGATGTTTTCTAGATTTTTACTGTTTGTTTTAGACTGCAAACACCTCGTTTGCTTTCTGAGTCTGAGCCTCCCTCCACTGTGTCAAGTGCTCGGCTGGTCAGGATGACTATGAGAAGCACCATGGGCAGAAGGACCCGGGGACTTGTTGTTTGCCAGTCCTTCACTTGCCACGCTAAACCTTGGGGGTTCACGGTCGCATACGATAACTAGAGGGCGCAGACCCTCAGTGAGATGAGCGGGGAGGTATAATGATGTATAATTGTATAATGATTCACATTGATTCACTATGATTCACTTTCACCCATCTTCTTTACAAGCATCCTTGTGGCCACCCTCCCAACTTGGTGCACCACACAGCAGTGAAGCCACGAAGGAATCCCAACGGGCCATGTTGAACTTGGTTCTTATTGCACCGCACCGCCAGATCGGTCAACCAGCTACCGCCGTTTCGGTAAACCGGGCGGCACCGGACGGGCGTCAATGATTTGGATGACCATCAGCACCACAATACTTGACAGTGTTTCAAAGAAAAGACCTAGTATAGGTGAGTACTAGTGCATGTGAGTACCAACGAAGATGGAACAAACTTTTCATACTTCTTGAAGTCTTGATGGTTACTGCCGCTGTTGCCCCACGGACCTCTCCTTCTTCATGCACCAGGACCCACGGACCTCTCGCGAGGTTCGCATCCGGTATTTTCCACAGCCAGCGATGGAGCAGACAGAGGAAAAGAGGGTGACTCAGTTGAACCAACAAGGCACCCTCTTGTGGTTCAACAGTGGAGGGACAACAGTGGAACCTCTAGGGTGGCTTCAAGCAGCGTCTCTAGAGGTTAGGCACCAGCATACAAACCGGTGCCTGTTGGTGGTGAAGCCCACCGGTGCTCGTGTTGTTTCCTCGCTGTCCAACCGGACCGGTTGTGAGGTGAAGCCTGTGAACCATGGCCTCAAAGGTGCCCTAAGGAACGAGAAGTACCAGGAGTCCGCGCGGGCGGAGGAAGCGCAAACCAATGTGACATTCATTGAAAAAAACGGGCGAAATCAGCGGTGGTACCGGGGGACTTGGGTAGTGGGCATGGGTAGTGCGGAGCATGAGTCCCTGGTCCTCATTTTTGCAGGGTCCCGAGTCTGGTAGAGCAGGGTCACAGTCTTTTTAAGATAGCCTCTCATTCATTGCCAGGCCATCCACTTGCATAGCCTTTCAGGTGGGCATAGAGGCCTCCAGATTGATAGAAATGATATAGAAATGATATACGAAGAGTTTGCTTTCGGGGGGACATTCGATTCGACTTCCATCGATTCGAGGGATTACAAGAAGCAAATCCAGTCGACGATCAAGCTGGCCAGGACCATGAGCTTTGGGTGTTCTCGGGCTGCCAAGATGATCAGACCAGCGCTGATGCCCACGTGGAGGGGATCTACCAGGGTGCTTTCACTTGGGCTTTGATCAAAGCCTTGAAGGTGCGAGGATGGGAAGATGGTGGGGGAAGGCACAGCGACTTGAAGTGAGGCTTCAAGTCAAAGTGTTCAGTTTTGGGGGATCCCCCACACCCCCGGGAACGTACGAACATACCTTTCAAGCATGTAGAGACACCCGTCCGGATTCAATCAAAGAATTCGAAACAGGTGAAACTGCTCGCTTTCTCTTCATACATGCTTGTTCGTAGCTACGGGATGCTTATCGCGACCTCCCATAGTATGTTGACTCTTGTTGGAGTAGCAAATCCGTCCCGAACTGCCGCCCTGGCCCTACACATCAGAACACGGACCGTGTAATCTCATACACGGTCTTCTTGCCATTCATGTCGCCAAAAGGAGTTGTGTTGTAAATATTTATTGGTAGGCATATAATCACACATATTCAAAGTGTTTGTCCACTTCCTGCTGTGTGTTGACAGCAACCAAAGAGGAAGGACCGAACACTTCCCCATGACACCCCCAAAACATCCCAAAAACTGTGCTGAGGAGACGGCCGAACCCATGAACCCACGAATCCAGTAGGGCGCAGGCTGTGGCCTGTGCAGGCTGTGCTGTGTAATTTTCCAACAACCACTCTTGAGAAACCGCGAGCTGGTCTGGTGGAGTCTCTTGTTCTTTTTGTTTCCCTCATTCTGCCGAGCTATACCTGAGGCAGATGCCTTCAAGGAGAGCTATCGGAACCTGATGATTCAGCTGACCCCCGGACCTGGGGAGTTCATGTTCGGAAGGTTAATGGTCACGGAAGGTCAATGAAGGTCACATCTCAACATCAGAGAGATTTAAATTTAAAAGTTCATTGATGAATTTGTTGTTGTTGTTGTTGTTGTTGTTGTTGGTTGTTGTATGTTGTATCTTGTGTAACTTTGGATCTTAATTAGCATAAACCTACCCTAGCAAACAATGGAGGGAGTCTGAAAATTAGCACCGCCACAAAAACAATTGGCAGTAGTAATAGTAGTAGTAGTAGTAGTAGTAGGAGTAGGAGTAGGAGCAGGAGTAGGAGTAGTAGGAGTATGAGTAGGAGTAGGAGGAGGAGCAGTAGCAGTAGCAGGAGTAGTAGTAGTGGTAGTGGTAGTGGTAGTGGTAGTGGCAGTGGTAGCAGCAGTGGTAGCAGTCGTAGTGGCAGAAGTAGTGATACTCGTCGTGAGTCGTGGTAGTAGTCGTCGTCTTCGTCGTAGTAGTAGCCGTAGTAGCAGTAGCAGGGGCAGCAATAGCAGAGCAAGATAAAATAATTGTAACTAATTTTGCTAGGGCTACAAGATTGCATATTAACCCCAACCCCGATAGACAATTCGTATTATTCACTTACCCGAGGCTTGTGCACTACACGACTACACCCTTGAAAAATTGTTTGGGGCAATGAAATCAATGAGTTTAAAAAAGTGGTGTTTAAAGAGGTTTTCAGGTCAGAGTTCTGTGAATCAAGCAAACCTCAGTAGTATTAGTAGTAGTAGTACCCTAAGCATCCAAGTGCTACAGGAGGAAGTACTTGCCAAAGGTCTAACAGAGAGGATGTTTATAAAGTTATGTGTTCATGAATACTGAAAGTACTTTGTGAGAAAGTACTTGGTCCAAAGCAATTTTGGGCTTAAGCTGGACAGTCGCCATGGGCCTGTTGCGGGCTGCTTGCGCAAATGGTGCGCCCCCCTTTTTATTCCTTGCAACATTGTGGTGATATTTGTGAATCTGGAACCTGAGTGACCCCGCACAGGAATACCAAACCATCCTATGAAAACTTCAGGTGTCATAGTTGGGGTCATGGGTTCCAAGAATGCATCTTGCAATGTGCATTCCACACACCTGACCCACTCCCAATGCCATCTCTTCTTCAGCAGTGCGGGCCCTGATCGCAATCCATTGATCTTTGTACCTTGGCTTGGCAATGGTGGAGCTTCTGCCAGATGCAAATGGTGGACCCATCAAGCACCTGTGGAAACCCATGGTGCTTCACATTCAGGTTTCTTAGCGTACATATAGATCATGTGTGGATGATGCACTGCATGTATCAACCATGACAGTTGACATGCTGCATCATGTATATATGCATGCAGTGTATTGAGGCGGAAGGTGAGGCCATCTATGAAGTCTTGGAGATGACCCTCAAAGACAAGATCCCTGATATCTTGGGGGATCCAGATCTTTAGTTGCAATGTGATTGCATATGCATGTAGGTACAGGTAAATACTGTATATGCGCATAATTAGTTATATGATTGGAAAATTCCCAGGACAAGCGCTGCATCATTTTTGACCAAGATCGCATGGTTGCCACTTGATTGGCATCTTATTACTTCATGTGTGTATGTTGACTAGCTAGGCTTCCTGATGGGTCACATACATGTACATTGCAAAACTGATCAGCAGTAACTTTGCACATGCAGGTTCATAGTGAAGATTTGACGCGTCACTACAAGATCCTGAAGCAGTACCTGATAGAGTTCAGTGAATGCCCAGATGGCCTTCCACACCTGGAGCATCATAAGGAACTTACATGGATGTGCATGTGAATTATGTCCAAGGAGTGCAAGGGGTGCATCCAAAACTGCACACACTCCAGGCTGCTTTTGCTTATTGGGCCATCAAGAGTGGGATCTTCAATGAGGATTTGTATTTGAAGAGAGGTGGACGAGGGAAAGTGCGCGACATGCTGGCATGCATATTGAGAACCCTATTGTATCTAGATCAAGTGGAATTTCACATCTGGGCCAGGAATGGGCTGGCACTGAAGCCACCAAACTTCGAATGTTGGCTGTCCATGTGATACAGATCACCCATAGAACCCTGAGAGCTAGGCAGGGTTGCATTGTGTGTCTAGGTTTGTGTGTGATGAGTGCATACGTATATATATATATATATGTTGTCATCATCTGCATATGCAGGAACCCCTATGTCAAGATCCTGAAGAACATTGTGGCGAGTCTGAGGGGGTTGGCAAAAGATACGACGGAGGTCCAGGAGGACATGAATTAAATTTCCAGTACTGGCGAGTACTGGTGTATTCATTTATGCCAGGAAAAAAAACACATAGCACAGGTTGAATTACTTTTTTGGGGGGTAGTTGCTGTCTTTTGATTATGGTGATAGAGCCTCGCTGAATACATCCTCTTCAACGGATACATTGAATTTGGATGAACCTCCTCAGGACTGAATGCATCCATGCCCACACCGGTTCAATCTGGCCTGATTGACAGGACCCATATGAGGTGAGCAGCAAGAAAGCAAAGCTTGAGATGCCAACCCCTTGCTTTGGTGATCCTCCTCAACTTGAAGATAACGAGGTTGGCAACTGCTATGAATGAATGTGTGAATGGGTGTATGGACAGCTGTGCAAATATTTTTATAGGTGCATACTCAATTTTTGGGATATGATGACAGGACACTCCTGAAGATGAGGAGAAACCGGAGGAGATCTTGGAGAAAAAGAAGGACTACACATATATTATATGATCTCATGCACAATAGCTATATCAGAATTCAATTAAACCAAATTTGTATGGACCTTCATGGGCATGTATACCTGCAATTCCAGGAGTCCATGCCAGCTGCACATCCAGCAAGACCTATTCCAGGATTTCAGGCGGGGGAGTCTTACACTCTATTTATAGGTGCATGCAGTTGTCTCCAGCAAACCCTTGAACTAAACATCAGTACATGTATATGCATTCTACATGGTTTCTGTCAGGATCGGGCACCACTCTTGGATGATGGTTTGCGCATGGAGCTTCCCTTTGCTCCCCCTGAAGTGCTTGAGATGGATGGAGCTGGTCTTGGATTGAAGCAATCGAAACTCCGGAAAGAAATGAAGGAGGCTTGGTTGCCTTTCACATGATTAACTTGATGATTGAAAATGAATGTGATTTTAATTTTTGAATTTACTATATCCCATGGCATCTAGCCTGTTTCATGCACAGGCGAAGCAGGGCGAAGATGCAGACAAACTTGCTGCCAGGCAGGCAAAGAGGAAGCAGGAAGAGGCTGAGGCCAAGGAGGAGCCCACTGGACGTGGTAGAGGACGTGGCCGTGGGAGGGGCCGAGGAAAGAGAGCCCCAACACCTGATGTTGATGGTGATTCACCACCCAGGACTCCAGTTCCAGGGAAAGCCAAGGCAAAAGCCAAGTCACAAGCCAAGTCACAAGCCAAGGCGAAGGCCAAGGCAAAAGTGACTCCAAAACCCAGCAAGGGTGTTGCTAGCTCCAAGAATGGATGGACACCACGCATGAAGGTTCGAACACCAGTGAGGGAGCAGGCTGCTGCATCATCGATTGCTGTGAAGAGAAGAGACCGCAAGATTGCTGAACCTCCTGCAGAAGGATCAGGGGCTGCACGCAGGGCTGAAAGGGCAAGGCTGGCCCTGGGTAAGCTCCACAACAGTCTTGGCCCGCAGGAGATCCGTGATGTGATGGCTCCTACTATTACTGACCCGACCTTCCACCAAGTTTCATATACAGCTTTTGCTGGAACCAACCCGACGCACAAGCTTTTCTCATGCAAGATTGGGGTCATTCTCTACAGTGAATCTTTCTATGTCTACAAGAAAGCAGTTGTCCCAAAGATTTTGGAGAGTATGCTACAGGCAGGGAAGGGGTAGTGGAAGGGGTGTCTGCACATCTAGCCAGTGGCAAGACTACTTTTAAAGAACACCGGCCAGGTTGACAAGGCAAAGGGCTGCAGCATCAGTTGGCGAAAATTCCCAAGTATCCGCGATGCGTGTCTTGGCTTAAATGATCTGTGAATTTGTGGATAGTGTGCAATTTGCAAGGCATTTTATTGTGTGTTAGGTATATGCATTGAAACCCTTTAAACATGTAAACTGTCCCACACTCAGTTGGTATGCAGCACTACTTGTTGGAGGGTGGGTGACACCCACTGGTGATACGTTCGAAGAGTCACAGGTGGGAGAATTGGTCTTGGCTGTGCAAAGAACTGCATAGATATACATGTACATGTGTAACAGTCCTTGCTGCTGTTTTTCATAAATATATGTATGGGATATATAATTCATGCACTTTCTGCAGGTGAAGTTGGCAGTGGATCTCCTTCTTTCTGGTCGTTCTGCAATGGGATGACTGTTGAGGGCCCAAGTGATCGATCTAGCAATATGGCTGGAGGGATGCTTTAAGCTTTTCTGCTTGAGCCTAGATGTAGTTCAAGAGTGGCCTCACAAAATGTTTGGCTGCCAGCACGCTAGGGACAAACCGTGTTTGGCAGGCTGTGAGTTCAATGGCCACCCATCGGGAAAACAGATCGGCAGTGTATATATTTTTTTTTTATAACTACAGTTGCACAGCTCATGATTGAACTTATTAGTGCTAACATTGTGAGCACGCAGGTGGGAAGATTGCTCGTGACAATCACAACAAGGCCCCTGCCTACCGGAGAGGTGCCCCCTTCACCTGATACTAATATCTGTCCTGTCTGGGCAATGAGTTCTGGAGTGTGTGCATGCACTGTATGAAAAGGAACTTTTGGATTTGAATTCATGAAGTGTTTTTCTCAAGCCCTAGATTACAGGGGGCTCAACAACCATGCCCTATAGTACGAAGGTGACCAGGAAGCAATGTCTCCTTTTGTTGATGTTAGGGATCCCGCCAGTTCTGCGCCTTGCCTTTCTTAAAGGTTTATTGAAGCTACATGCAACATTCCAAATCTTGGCCAAGTTGCACTATTGTACAGCACACGATTGCCACTCAGGATC